GGCATACTTCGTAATGCGTTCAAGGTCATTTCGCGTGAGTGGTGTTTAACACTTTATAACGCCATGATACTTCCAGTATTCGACTATTGCGCTGTTGTATGGGACTCCTGCAGTAAGGCTGACCGAGAGTACTTGGATAAGCTGCATAGGCGTGCTGCCAGTATTATTGAAGGCTACGCAGTCCCACAATCGCAGATATCTTACACTTTCGGTTTGCCGGGACTGCCTGAAATGCATGCTAGAGTTTAAGAGCCTTCATGGCCTGGCTTCAGCATATTTACTTAATAAATTTAGCCACCAGCGCGATTTTCAATCATATAACATGCCATAGAGATTTGTTCCCTCTGCCGCTAGCTCGGACAACTAAGTACCAGAGGGCTCCTTCAGATTCAGCGGAGCTAAGATCTGAAACACGTTTCCTCTGGCCCTGAGGAGCGAGCATGGTTTAAATAAGTTTGGGTTTAGTCTAAAAAGACACTTTAGATCCAAGTCTCCAATACTTTTGCTATACTTAGTTGTTCAGTTTTTTTATCTGTTATTTATTTATTTATTTATTTATTTTTTTTGTGCCTTGTTTTTTTTTTTTCCTTTCATCAGGGCTTCATTCAAAACAGCCTTGCTGAACTGGACACCCCTGAATAAATATTGTCCAAAATGTCCTTTGGAGGATAGATTATTAGATTTTTTTATTTTTTTATTTATTTATTCTATTTTGTTCTTCTATAAAGGAAGTAAGGAAGGGTAAATTGAGGCGTGTAAGATCAGGAATGACGTATATATTTCATCCCCTTAAAAATACCTGTCACGCAGGCAAAACGTGTAAAAGACCTTGCTTTTTGCACTGGCTAAGCAAAAAAAAAATTGCTTCTCATTTATCGCTCTGTTTTTGACATTAAATGCCGTCTGAGAAGCAGCCTGGTGTTTTTTTTTAACACATAACTCGTCAGTTAACTAATAAATAAATAAAAAAAAACGTCATAAGTTTGAAGAAATTTTGAGCGATTTTGAAGGATTTTTAAGTTCGCCGTTTACTCTCTACTTTCCCTTCAAATAAATGCAGGCAAAAGACGGTAATTTATCGTAGGCAAGGTAATCCAAATAACATCATTTATTTAGGATTGATCCATGCTTATATCTAGCGAGATATGGCTAAGCAATCGATAAATCCAAAATTACAAACCTTAAATAAAAAAGATTGTGTGGGTTTCCTGTTGAAATTTAACTCTTTAGTGTACATAGGCATTTATTGTTACCTGCTCAAGGAGAATATAAAACTGATTATCCCTATTGAAGCCCGAGTTCACGCAGCTATGCCGGCTAGTTTGCACAATATTTCGTGTCTTGGCTGTCGTATAAAGCTATATATAATTTCATTTTTAAAACTCTGGCGACCCCCTGGAGACCTCTTTCTTTCTTTTTTCTACTTTTGTTTTGTTTTGTTTTGTTTTTGTTTTTGGTGAAATTGCCATGAAGAGCATGATGTTTCTTTTTTTTTTTTTAAGAGTTAAGCGCTAAAACTCAGTAATAACTTGTGATTAATAACAGGTGAGGCACATGTGTGCGAGCAGAGAGACATTTCATCAGAACTAACGTATATTGAGACGCCAAGAAGGCCAAGAAAACAAACAGACTTTTCTTTCAATTATGAAGCGGTTCAGTAATTATCTCTATTTCATGACTTTACCTGAACAAAATCTTAAGAACAGATGTTTTTATCTTGGTGGTAAACGAGCAAGCACGTATTAAAAAGAATTGATTTGATTGGTTGGCACTCTGGTAACATGTTTTCTGTTTTCTTTGTTTTTTTTCGTTTTTCTTTTTTTTTTTTTACCCTCCGGATTAATTGATGTTATCCTCGGTCTAAACTAGTTTACCACCTTGCTTCTCGAAAGAATCACTTACCTGCTACATGTTGAAGAAAAAGGTAAAAACTAATAGTCATGTTTTCGTTATATTTGGCAGGTTGATGTTACCTTTTTGAAGCTATCAGGGGCGTAACCAGACCATAGACCTGTAGGCCCGGGCCTACAAAGTTTTGGTTTGATCACTCTACCGCTTGTAATGAATTATGCGTTGTTGGGTGAGCTAAAAAGCGTAAGAGCTCATAGTGTTAGTGAGGTCAGCGCGAACTAGTCATGTGAGCAGTTTTTCAGGATATGTAGAATGTAAGTCAGCCATGCCTACAACCAGTCGAAAAGCTGGTTACGCCCCTGGCTATAGTTCTCCAGCCTGCATTTGTGGGTGACCGCTTTAACTTCAAGCGGTCTATTATGGACAGCTGCCATAAAAAGGGCAGAAAATTTTACTTCGATACCTTCCTCTTTACTTAGATATCATAGTGTACTACCGTGTGTTGCTCCAAACAGGTCGGCTTACTATTAAATATAGAAAGTTCAGTATGCTTTGGATCTCTTGTTGCCATTCTGAAAATTTTGACTTCCCTNTTGAAGAAAAAGGTAAAAACTAATAGTCATGTTTTCGTTATATTTGGCAGGTTGATGTTACCTTTTTGAAGCTATCAGGGGCGTAACCAGACCATAGACCTGTAGGCCCGGGCCTACAAAGTTTTGGTTTGATCACTCTACCGCTTGTAATGAATTATGCGTTGTTGGGTGAGCTAAAAAGCGTAAGAGCTCATAGTGTTAGTGAGGTCAGCGCGAACTAGTCATGTGAGCAGTTTTTCAGGATATGTAGAATGTAAGTCAGCCATGCCTACAACCAGTCGAAAAGCTGGTTACGCCCCTGGCTATAGTTCTCCAGCCTGCATTTGTGGGTGACCGCTTTAACTTCAAGCGGTTTATTATGGACAGCTGCCATAAAAAGGGCAGAAAATTTTACTTCGATACCTTCCTCTTTACTTAGATATCATAGTGTACTACCGTGTGTTGCTCCAAACAGGTCGGCTTACTATTAAATATAGAAAGTTCAGTATGCTTTG